TCGCTGCCAAAGACGTGAGCAGAAATTGGGCACTTGTGACTAAAAATAGCCTTTTAATGTACGCGGCTGGTTGGCGGCCCTGACTCGAGGGGCCCGTGAGCGGGTAAGGCATGCCTGCCTGCCGAAAAACGGTGGCTGAAGTAGAGAATTCGTCAGCTGGCAGCCTACTCGAGGGGGATCCAGTGGGATTTGAGTCCTAAGCAAGGCCTAACGGTGACAGTTCAGAGGGGAGGCATTAATTTTCCCTTCCTCCCCCCCCAAAAAAGTTTTTTGAGCAGCCTAAGATATTTTTTGTACATTGCATAACGTGATTGTTTTTATGTAAGTGATTAAATTGTTTTAGCCAATGGTGGTGTATTAGGTTTTTCAATAATTTTCTGCATATTCTCATAGTACTTTTTTTTTTTTTTTTGTGGCAGTAACTTCAGCTATAAAGTTCCTCCTTTCCATTAGTACTTTGATCATTTCTACTGTTAGAAACAGGCTTGTGTTTCTTAGAAGCATTTTAAAGAAAATAATATTACATGAAATACCTTAATTATATATTTTACACACACATACCCCATCATATGCAAATTGGATTTAAGCTGTTGAGGACAGCTGGGACCTGAGATTTCTAGTTTCAGAACAAAGTTTATTTTTGTTCATAGGCTGTTAACTACACTAATCCTCACCATGTCTCTTGTGCTCCCCAGCAATTTCAGGTTTTGGGGAGAATGTTCCTTTGGTGAAAAGTGACTTTTCCCCCTCCCCAGTCTCATCGTGCACGCATATCACCTGCAGTTACGCCTCTGAACGCAAAAGCCTAACAATAGATAGCTGAACAGTGGTTTGTAGGGGAATACTGCTGCAGAACCAGCAAAGCAAAAATAAGAGGTGGCTTTCATGTGTCCTAGAAAATACCATTATTTGAACTTTGGAAGACTTCCTATTGATGGGACATGTGATTTAGTGGTGGTTTTAGTGTGGCGTAACTCTGCTAACTTCTACCTAGGGCCATGCAGGATTAGGTCAGTTATAATTTCTCTAGAAAACAAAAAAACCTCAACCCCCAAAAAAGCCCAAAACATGTTTTGAAATCCTCTGCAAACTGTCAGAACACTGGCTGTGTGCTGTAGTCCTCCATGGTAATAGACAACGTGATTAATTTGACTTCAGCAAAGTTTGTGTAGTGTCTCTTAGGAACAGCAGTTCCTTCATCACTGTCTTATGTCTAAGTTTGGAGAGTACTCTCATAGAATAGTTCCACTATGTTAATTCAGCTGTTTGCTTACAGAGTCTTGAAAAATCTTTCAGAGAAGGTCTAACTACGTGCTGAGAAAGAAAATGGTAAAGTGCATATGACACATGCTGTATAGCATCTGGGAGGTCACTTACTGCAAAGGCAGACAAGGAAAATTCCTCTTTAAATAACCAAGTATGGAGTTGAAAGGTGGTCAATGATTAAGGCAGTCCTCATCTAGCTGGTTGTGATGCCTTTTTAATTATAGAGCTTAGGCATTTAATGTAATTTTTGAAAGTCAGGTCTCCTTGGGCAATGTAGAATTAACTTATTTTAAAAATGTGCTTGAGTGAAACTCTACTGCAATGTTCTACCTCTGAGTCCTGTTTAAAAAAAAAAAGTAGTGTCCACTCCCTTGCAGGTAAGGGACCATTCTTACTCCTTTTCTATGTCCTGACCAATAACCTATAACCCTGCAAAATAGCAGAAACAGATCCAATTCCCTACAAGCGTGTGTGTTTAAAACTAGAATTTAGACACTCCTTTTCAAGAAAATACATAATGAATGGCCCCAGCAGAAGAAAAATGTTGAGTGTTATTATACCAGAAAAATGAAAGCAAGTAGTGCTGTGAAAAATTTCCGCATTTATTAGTTGGTTATTCAAATCACTGAGATATGTTACCAAAAATTGGGAAGCCTGTTCAAATACAGGAAAGAGAGTATGTTTAAGCTAAGTGATAAGAAAAAGGAAGACAACTGCATTGTAGTGCAGTGCTCCTGGGGATTGTTAAAGTCAATCTGTTGCTGGCTAAAGCAGTGTTGTCATCCTGCTAATAACAGCATTATGCTGCCCTTGCTGCCAGCCGGGAATAGTTGACAGAGACGTAAATTGTACTATTACATAAGTGTAAATTGTGATATAATAGAATCAATTGTACTGAACTGTATTGCTATCAGCATCAGAACTTGCCCCAGTAATTTTTCTAGTCGCATAACTAGAGGGCAAGTAAAGACCAACAAGACCATCTCATAACTTTTCCAAGAAAAAGACATTTTGGAACGTTTATGTAAGTTAGCCATTCCTGGGATGAGCAGTTCACAACTCAAAGCTGTTCAGATTCTGCAGGTACATGTAAGTGTCAAAGGTAATTTCATCAATTAATAGTTTGCATTCTCTAATGTAAAGTCTCTATTGTAGTAAGGTTACAGTTGGATTGAAGAAGGTAAATGACACATTAATAGGGGGAGGAGAAATCACAGAAAACTGCAGGTGGTATTAAATGAATTCAACTAAAAATTGTCACACTCAAATGCCCACTATCCACTGAATGATGGGGTTTTGATTCACTTTTGTACCCAGAAGACAGCAATATAATGGTACTTTCAGATGCTCGTATTAAAATACATCTCATTCTTCTGCCCACGACTGCTGAATTTGGTAGAGCATTTGTCTAAATTCACACCTTTGAAATACCCGATAGTAGTTCTCCAGATAAAATTGGTTTAGCCACTTAATGTTAGCCTTTGTGTCTTCTGTAATACCTGCATTGATACATTTTCAAGTGATAAATGTTTGCTATAATTAGACAAAACACCTCAGTATGAACTTTGCTATTTATATTCTTCAGGTCAAAGTCTGATATGAAGGCAAAGCAAATACAAATTCAGATTGTGAAGGGCATTGTCTTAATTCATTTCATCTTACAAGAAACGTAAGTATTTCCATTTCCTCCTGTCAGACAAGATTAAGACCCTGAATTTGTTCAAACAAGCCTTTCGGTTGGTACAATGGAATAAATAATTTCCATTTTATACTTGCATTGAAAAAGAGCTAGTTACGTACAGATGTTCTTATAAAACATTTAAAATCACAACCCTCTTTGATATTAGTTGTAACTAACACTCCAACTGTGAAATATCAGGAACTATTAGAGAGTAGCAGAGCTCAAGCCCTGTACAAGATACACATAAGCAATCAGCTCTTTTTAATTGAAGGATGGATTATTTGTGCTTGTGCTCTTCTCATTCTGTAAGACTGCTCACTGCTTCCACAGCATCCTTATTCAGAAAACCTGGCAGGGTATCCAATTTGTAATAGCTGAAGAGAATTAGAAGAAAGGATTTCTTCCATCTTTCCCATACATTCACAGTCTGTCAATAAAACTAAAAGCTCTATGATGTTAACTTACAGAAAAAAAGCTATAATGAAACCATAGCAGTTTAATCATCCTTCAGTAAAAACAAATATACACTGACAAACAGTTGTCCTCCATCAAATTAAGTGTAAGTTCTGGGATGTTTATAGATTTCATGCTATAATCCTTAATAATGAGGTTGACAGTGGAACACTAAGTTTATGTAGAAAATAATTACCTCTTTACTAAAAAAGAAAACACCTTGAAAGTTGTGGCTCACTGCCATAGCCTTATAATACGTTCAGAAACCATGATGGATTTGAATGCTGAATGACAGCTCCGATAAAAGCATAGCCAACTTTGTTCTGTGACTTTTGAAGAGGGAAGAAGGGGATTTGAATTTGTGGGAGGAGTGAAGGTTGAGGAACTAAAACCAGGCAACAAAGCAGCTTCTCTGTTCCAGCAATCCATGCAAGACAAATTTTGGAATATTCCTCCCACCCTTGGGGAAAACACGGTGGCAGGGGGAAACACCACCACCAAAAAAACCCCAACCCCACAAGAAAACCCCCACTACATCTCCACATTTTAAATTAGAATTACTTGCACATCTCAAAGGTCAGCACTGGATTATATATAACCTAACAAAACTCCCCCTGGAGCCTGTCACCAACTGCCATGTAGCTATGAATAGGTGTAAGAGTCACCCACTTAGGAACATTCGTTACTTTGAAGTATTACTGGTATCTGTGTGCACAGAAATTTTTCACATCATTTACTAAGTTATCTCCAGATCCCAAATCACTGTCAGCAAACCTGAACAAAGCCACCCAATCGTCTGTATTTTTTATATTTTCACCAGCACACTTAAAGGAAAGAAAGACAAAGGAAGCATTTTATGCGAGTGTGTATCATTTATTGTAGTTCAAGAGAGTCAGGAATTGAACAGAAGAGACAGCGAAAAACAAATAAAAGAAAAACACAACCTTTTTTTCAGACTTAATTTTAAAACACTGTGGTTTCAAATCCTTTTTAAAAAGGAAATTCAAGTATCATATGCAGGGGGCAGTAATACAAAAATGTTTGTGAAATTTTTTTTAATTTTTTTTTTTAAAAATGTAATTCTACATTTCCTGCACCCTTTCTGCTTTGGTAAGGCCAAGCCATGGATACAAATTGGTATGCAACATAAAAAATGACCCCTGCCCCAAACTGCAGCCTCCAAGAATAAAAGGATCTGCTCTCTGCGGACAAGCTCTAATGGCTCAGAACTGTCATTTAGCATATATCATATCTGCAGCATTAAAAGAATGGATTTTATTTTTTAAAAAGTCACCGAAATCCTGGTATTCCCAAGCATCTCATTCATGGCAGCTGTTTTAACATACTTCTTTCTAACAAGGCTTTTCAAAAATGCCAGACCATCTAGATCAACATAAAGAAAAGGGACATCTCAAAGAACAGAAATTAAAATCCATGTGTGAAGTCTTTGCTTTTTTGAAATCATCCTTGTGTCTAACACCAATTAAAAACCAAATATGCAAATATGTGTAATATAAAAATACGATCCCAAGATTAACACTTTGTTGCAGGCACAGTTATCGCACAGAATATGTTCTTTTGAGGGCAGGGGAATGATTTTGATTTTCACAGGGATTTTTTTTTTTGCATTACAAAAAGAAAGAAAAGACAGCAGTGCAGGTTTGCTGGGTGGAAGAGGAAGAAGGGAGTTAAAGAGGAAAAAGTTGCTTTAGCAGCAAAATGTCCAAGGTTCTAACCACAATCAAATTAACGGATATCTGGCTGTAAAAAATAAGGTTGAAGGGATGCTGCCCTGATCCATTCATCTTTGCTAAAATAATTCAGCTGTAAAAACTCCAAAATGTGACATATTGAAGGACAGTTTTGTAACATAAGCAACTTCCTAGCTTGTCCTCCATGTTATTGACCATCGTTATCACTTAAATATATGTACAAGAATTAAGCTGCTTTTCTCCTCGTCCACATGCTTCTGGTCACTACTGCCAGTCAGCGCCAGTGGGCATGCTAATCAGCTCTACAGCTTTCAAAGTGTGTCTGCTCCACTACGACCAGGACAGCCCACGCCCTGTTCTTCCATCGGTGTTGGCGTGCGCTGCAAGGGAATTCTTAATGGTCAGCATTCTGCTTGTCTCTCATCCACGCTTGGATTTGCTCTTTAAGTTCTGGCACTAGCAGGGTAAAGAAAAGAAAAAAGAATGATTAACTTAGTTAAAATTACTTAGTAATACTAATGAGAGAAAGTTCCTCATGACCAATAGCAAGTTCTTTTCTAGAAATCTGATCAGGACTATGTACACTATTTTCTTTTCCCTCCATGTATTTTCTGCACAGCTTTGAGTAAATGAATAGCTTATTTACCCATCATAACAATATCCTTTCACCTGGTAGTTAAAAAGGTAAGGGTGTGGGTTTTTTCTCCAGAAAAAGGGAAAACAGAGAGAATGGGCTTTTCAGTGCAAGTTGAAAGAACTGTTAACTGAGGCCTCAACACGCTTCTGAAAGTATACAGAACAATTGGGGAAGCAATTGGTGTACAGTTTAACAGTTCCATTGCTGACTGTTACACAGATACCTGGTTCCAGCATATTTTCTGTCAGCGTCTGACGATTGAACGGATCGGTGGAAGAGTTCAACAGATGCCTCAGGATGATCGACCGGTCCATAATAGTTCCGGATGGCAGCCTCACCGGGTCAGTCATCAGAGTGTCCATAAGTGGATCTGAGGGCACAAGTGTTTCCTCATTACACTAAGGACAAGAGCTACAAATTTTATCTGCACACAAAACCACAGTGCGGAACCAAGATACTCAGGGTCCCCAGCAGGTATATTGCTAAGTTACGTAAAATGGTTAAAGTGAGCAGTGGACTTCAGCCTTTATATTGCTTTCCCCTTTCTGAATGGGGACTAATCATTGACTATCTGCACTCTAATTTTCTGATTTTGTTTTTTTCTTACTGTTTTAAAGCACATGTAAGCAAAACATGGATAGGACTGGACAGTACAGTTCCCAGAAGAAACACAAACTTTTAGCTCTCTGTTTACTTCACTATTTAATTGGAATAGAGCAGGATGCAAGGCTTCATAAACATAGTTTCTATTAATATATACTCAGAGTATAGAATCAAAGTAATCAAAGAATCTCATATAGAATCAAAGTAACAAAGCAAATCCCTCTTCTCCTAAGAGGTCAGTATTTAGAAAACTCAACTCACCTCTGAATTCATCCGGAGCATCACTGTAATCAATTTCTGCACGGGCATTCTTGGCAACAATTTCCTCCACTTTCTCTGCCAGCAGTTTGAATTTCTCTATTGCTATGGTTGACTTGATGCCAGCCTTTCTCATCTTAGAGATAACCTCCTCAAAGAGCTCTTTGCTGTAGGACCTCTACAAGCAAAGCATAAAAAGACAACTTTGCTGAGTTGTAGGATCTTAACATGCCATAAAAAAGTCTAAAAAATCTTTTAATGCATTTTTAAAACTTCAGAAGGATGGATCAATGAAACCTCAACATTACGTCAGACAGGAAAGTAGTATGCAGGTAACATTTCATTTAGCACCAAAATGTCAATTTGGGGTAGACTTATGCTTTTTTACTTGTTATCACTACTGTAGATCTGTTCAGGACCAAAAAAAAAAAATACAACATCACCTAATCAAAATGAATCAAACACTCGGAGAGGCTGACTATAATGATTAGGTTTGTTCCTTAGACAAAACATCTGTCTTGCCACTCCTGTCTATTCTTGTTCTCACAAGTCTTGGCTGAAAATACAGCACAAAATGAAAAGGTTTTTTGATTTGTTAACTTCTCTGATAATGTGCACGGCAGTACTGGGAAAGAAGCGATTCTTTCTCCTAACCCAAACAAAAAACCCACCCCATGATGTTTCAAAAATAGTAAGGCAACTCAGAGGGAACAAACGCTTGCTGGAAGCCTGCCAACCAGCACAGTCAGGGCTGTGCAGCTACACAGCACAACACTCCAACACCAAATGCATCTCCTGTAGTTTCAACTGAAGCAGCATTGCTTTCATGTAAAAAAAAGAAAGTTACACAAGGACTTTTGAAAGCTGCTTATGTTCTAAAGACATCATTTCAAGTTCTCAATGTTGTGTTTTGATATAAGCCTTTCATAAAAATTGTTGTTTACACTGCAGTGCAAGGTTGAATTAAACAACAAAACAAAACACATTACAGATTTCTGTTTTCCTTAGGGATTTTAAAATGTTCACGGAGAAATACCATTCACAACTTAGGACACACAGTGCCCACCCAAACTCCTTTCTAGCTCACAGAGAACAGAACTATGGCAATATGCCCAGGGCTTTATAAACGTTTTCAGATTCCTGTAATACGTGCTAGGATTTGCAAATGGTAGATGTATCAAAATGCTTTAGAGACCTTGCCATGATCAAGCAACTTTTTGTTTGTTTTGTTTTTTCCTCCCAAAACCAGTAGCTGTTAACCAACTGTGCATTTCCTTGGTGTTTTTTCCTGTCATTGACAGTTTCTAAGATACTAGTCACTCCCCCACTTTTTATGAAGGGCTACTTTGTTAATTAAGCTTTATTCCAGTTCCCACACCAGCAGGCTTCTTTCTTTTTAATCCCTATGTCATTGCTGTGCATTTTGCCATGGCTTGCATCGATGAATGAACCATAGATAACATTTTCACTTTCATATATACTGAACAGCATAGAAAATGCACTGCATGTTCTTTATACACATGCAAACACATAAAGTCTGTTTCAGAAGTGGTACTGATACCTGCAATTACCAGAACTTAAATAATTACAGAAGAGAGAGGTACTCTGGTACCTCTGCTTCACAAGACATGCAAACACAGCTTCATGTATTGTGAAACAGCTTCCACTAGAATTTCAAGCAGCCATTGAGAACATTTTTTCCCTTCTAGATTTTGAAAAGTTTGTATTGTATGACACAGGCACGGAGAGATGCGATTCAGTAGTTTCACAACTTTACAAGAACACAGAAGTGAGGGATAGCTTATCTACCTTAAGAATTAACATGCTGCTCTGAAGAATACCATTAGGAGTTCAAAGGTGTCTTAATTGTCTCGTGTATGTTGTGTTTTGTCAGTTTATTACACAGCCTTTTAATAAAGTGATATAAAAGGGAATACAATTTGGAAACTGTTAGTCTTGACAATGATTGCTAAATGAGGCTCTTAGTCCCAGCTCTGCCCATTTCATGTGTTCTTGATGAGGAAGAGGGAAGAGAGTCAAAACTCTTTGTATGCTTCAGTTTTCCCCCTAGGAGGATCAGGACAAAGCACTGCTGCTAAATTACAATGAGTACAACTGGTGCTCAGGAAGTTTCCTACATGTGTGAAGTGCTATAGATGTTTATGTGTGTCTGTAGGTTTGCAAAACACCTAGAAAATACACCCATCTACAAAGAGCAGGCAGCCTATGAACAGAGACCATCTGCCGAAAGAAAAGAAATTGCAAACATATATGACAGAAACTGGGCAGCAGCATACAAGTAAGATGAAACTATTCTAGAGTATTCTGCAAAGTCCTGTTTGTCCACAGTGCTTTTGCCGTTCCCCTTCTCGTCTTTTTGGAGCTCACCTGATCATCAGCAATTGCTTTAGCAAAGCGAGCACAATCTAGCTGTAGGTAAATGTCAGTCAGTTGGTCCAACAGCTTCTTTGGTTCAAACCCATATTTCTCAGGGTTTTCGACTTTCAGGTCACGGCACTTGGGGCCACACAGTTGCTGTAAGTTAAAGTTCAACATAGCAGCCAATCGCGGTCCAAGTTCCTACAAGACCGAAGTAAAACACAGATCACAGCATGAAGGCAGTGATGAAGATTATCATTAGATTTCAATACAGCAAGACCAGGAATTATTAACTAATAAAATTATAATTTTGAGGCTTGCAGAAAGTGTCTTTTCTTTATGCATGCTTTCCATTAAAAATATGTAACACAAACAGCTTCTGTCTAGAAGGATCACACCATCTCAGTGACTCAGGCAATGCTGTTAACATCAAATAACTTCAAAAGCAATTAGATTTCAGTGAGTGGGAGAAAGGGGAGGAGAATGGATTCAATAACAATTCCAGGTTGTTATCCAACAGTAGAGATGTTAGAGAAGCTAGAAACCAAGTTAAATTTAAGCAGGACTTACAGGTCTGAGAAAAGGCTTTTGAACCTGCTTGGTAAGGATATGGAACATATCAACAGTTTCTGTTGCCAGGGCAAGATATGAACGAGACACACGCTCATCCTGAGCTAGCTGCGATTGCCGAGCTTGTTGCTGATCCTAGAAAATAAACATTCAGCGATTACAAGTCCACACAGCCATAAAGCTAACATGATTTAGACAGACAGAAGAACAGACTGCAATTCAAATCCAGATGCAATACATTTAAGGTGCAGCTCACTTCTACCTAATACTAAACAAAAGTCTCCCAACAATTTTCCAGAATTCTGCAACACTAAAAGTGAATGCAAATGGCATCACAAGACTCCACACGTTTGAGTCTATTTACATCCTGTAACTGCTCCTCACAGCTGCAGAACTGGGTTATGCTTCCTTTCCATCCAAATGCCAATACTTCAAAACCAGCTTGGGATCTGAGAGTCAAGTGAGGTTCTCTCTAATTTATGCACCATCATAAGTAAACACTCCACAACAGAAGAATCTGTAGATGATGTATCAGCTCATTTTGTCACTACAGGAATGGCTTTACTTTGCTAGTAGGCACAAACAGGAAGAATGCTTCAGAAGAGCAAACCAGAGTAAGTTTAACAAACAAGATTTTTATAGCTTTTCTTTTCAAACTTTTTTTAAATCAATAACCTTAAAATAGAAATACCTGACATTGGTGGATCAACACATACAATTATTGTTTAATCAGGCTAAGGTCTGAGGTATAGGACTCTAATTGTTTGCATCAAATCTACCCAGGATCAATGCATTAACAAAATAAAAGCTTCTATTTTCTTGAAGTCAATTCAACTGGCGAGCATCTTCCAAAACCTCCTTCAAGAAGGTTAAAGTCTCAATTTCTCCACTTAGAATTAAGTGCACAGGGATTTAAAATTTTATACTGTTTCCACTTCATACCACATTCTTTGCCAGCCACAACATAACTATGCAGAATGATGGTTTTTTGCAGGATGTCATCCAGAGTGACCATGGCCATACTGGCAGCAAGAAAAAGCAAAGAGAACTGCTTCTCATGAGCAGCACTCTTATTTAAAAGTTTTTTTTTAATGGTCTTGTATTAAAAAACTAAAAAATAAGTAAAGGGCACTTTGAAAAACAGCTCTGTTCACCCTGGGCAGCAGGTCCCATTGTTCTTTATTCTTCATCTCCTCTTGCACTTCATGGATACGTTTTAGGGACTCCAGACTCTCATCCAGCAAGAAAGTTGTGTCATTTATCAGCATGTTGATGTAGCGAACAAATTGCTTCCCAGAGCTGAAAACATTGAAACACAGTTATCACGGCAGAGTAGATGGGTGTGCAGACCAGACTGCGACCCCAGCAACACTCCTTCTGCACTGTATATTGTGAATAACGATCCCATTCCCCAAGCCAAGTTGATTGTGGTGTCCAGAGCTCAGTTTAGAAATACTCCAGTTCTACTGGAAGGAGCTGCCATTTAAGCTACAACGGAAAGCAGCATCACCCTTTCCCAACAGTAATAGCCTTCTCAGGTCATTGCCCAGTTTGCATGACAGAAAGCAGCATCATACACAATTTCCTACTCACTTGAACTCTTCCATAAATGTACCATGGTGAGCTATATTCTGCCAGAGGCTTTTGAAAATGGTGCTGATGTGGTAGCGGATCGTAAACTTGTCATAGAATTCGCTAGTGGCTCCAGTATGTTCAACATCTGGAAAAGAAAATAGACCCCAGAAC